CCTCTGCTCGGCGTCGTACAACCACCAAGCCGGACTCGGTTTTCATCATCAACACTTCCGCAATCAGGGCTGTCCCGACAATAGGAGGCGTCCCCGGGAATATGACGGTCTGGCTGCGCCCACCGCGTTCCAATGCGTTTCCTGTGGACTCAAGGACCAAACAAAGGCAGGACTACTACCCCAAATGAGGGCCCACGAGCGTACCAAAACCGAGCTGCAGCAGGCGCCAAAGATCGCAGCACTCCTTCAGCGCCCTTCCTGCGAGAAACAGGCGGGAAATACCGGGGGATTGGCCACACACACGCACGGCAAAAGCATCCCGACAGCAAGACAGGCACGACGCCAAAAATGGAGATAAAATACCCATGCGCCGTAAAGCTCGAAGCCCAGCAGGAAGAAGAGCAGATTCACACAAAGACTTTGCTTCCGCAAAGGAGGAGAATGCTGCCCAGGCACAGTGCACTGTGTGCCCAAAATGACACGTACGCATCCGTTCATAAATACAATACCGTCGCCGATTCCATGATGGCAAAGAGGTCAGGCCGCCGAGAAGGCGCAACTCACTCGGCGACAACACCCCGATGGGATCACCACCGGTCGAATTTCGCTGTGCAGCATGCGGCTTTTGGCGCCGCAGCGGTGACGGACCGACCCACCGCCGCACAGCACGCCACGGAGGTCGACCTGACATTGTGAGAACCGGCCCGCATGAACAGCGCGAGGAGACAGTTCTGCATCTACTCCGATGCCCGGCTCTGCGGGCGCCCGGGAAACACATGGACTGAACACTGAGGAAGCGAGGAAGCCGCGCTTCACGAAAAAGTTGGCGCGGCTTTTCCTTGAAGTGGAACGGCTCCGTCGCCAACAGCGCCCCCACGCGGCGAGGAGGCACGACGCCCCTCACGGATGCGGCGTGAAATCGATGCTCCGGGGAGGCGCCTTTTTTAAATTCTCTTTGTTGTCGGATTAATTGGCCTAATGATTTGCTGATTTGTTATTTTACTGGTTTTTGGCAGCGGCGGACCATCGAGCCACCGCGCCGGCAGGGGCGGCTGCGTAAAGTGTGCGTTTCGCGCCCTCCGCTGCGGCCTCCTTTTCGGGGGTGGTGGTTCTTCTTCACACTTCCACCCAGCAGGGCGGACGTGCTCTGCGATGGTGGGCGGTGTGCGGGTGTTCGAGTTCTTTTGAGAGGAAAAAATGAAAGAAAGGACTGGCGGGAACTAAAAAAAAAAAACATGCT